TGAGCCCCAGACCTGGTGGCTTGAAAATCATGCACAAAATCCTAAGAGGAGGCCAGAGGAGAAGGGACTGCAGTGTGGCCATTTCCTCTGTGGGGCAATTTCTCACTTTCCCTCTCACTGTCTCTTTCTGGCAAGTGCATGTACCCTATGGAGAAAACCTTTAAAAAAATAAAAACTGTTCTAACAATTTCCATCTCCTTCACCTGCCTCAAGGTTTTCTTTTTCTGTGGGTCCATTCTCATCAGTGTCCAAATGTGCTGTACTTTCTCTTTGTAAAACAAAACTCCTCTAGTGACTCTATTTCCCTTTTATCCACACACCACTCAGCTCCTTCCCCTCATAGCTAAACTCCTTGAGAACATTGTGTAGATTCACCATCTGCAATTTCTCTCCTCCTAACCTTTCATTTCATCCTCTCCTGATTTGTTTTTTTTCCTTACATTTGCTACTAGCTTGCTACACCTTTTACTTATTTATCGTGCATATTGCCTGCTTCCCTACTGGACGGTAAGCTCTCTGAGGCAGTGTGTTCTATTCATGAACGTAATTCTAGTTTCCATACCAGTGCTGATATAAACAGGGGTTAAAACAATAGTTTTAAAAAGTTTCTTTTTTTTTTTTTCTTGAGAGAGCAAGATTGAGAGAGCTGCACTCCCAACAAGGCCTTGATGCCATGATCTATCTCCAGCCTCAGCCAGGCCCTTATGGGCACACACATGCCCAGCATACTAAAGGAGGTTCCTGGTTGTGAACTGGCAACCTTCCTGTGTGAGTGGGTCTGCCTCACAGAGCATCAGAGCATCTGACCCCAAATAAGTAATTTTAAAGAAATAAGTACATGAACTCATAGATTACAATATAAAAAATTAAATGAGTTATTTAATTGGGTTTTCACAAGTGAAATAGATGTCATTTTGTGTCATTTTGCAGATGAGGTGACAGAGGCATTGGCAGTTGGTGATTCACTCCTTCAAAGTCCCTGGGTCAGGATGGTGTTGGATTCAGCCTCTAACTCAGGTCTCTGATTCCTAGTTGAGTGCGCCATACTTTACCCCACTGCTGCTTCCAGCAAAGCCTCTCCCCACTTCTGTTTTTCTAGGCCCCTGATGGGAGGGGCTCCCGGTCCACCAACTTTGTTGAGAATGCATGAGAACAAAGCCAGGGCTCAAACAGGAGGCCACCTGCTTTAACCTCACCACACATTGCCTTGGCGCTCCCCTCCTCCCACTCACGCTGACATTTCATCACTTCCTGAACCTCCCTACTTTAGCAAAGCATCGATTGCATGATGCGTTGGTTAAGATATGACATCGGGGGGCGTCATTCATTCAAAGGCAATTAGGTATTCAATACTTCTTATTCTGCCTGTCAGTAGGAATTAATAGGAAACCTTTCAATCAGCAACAACTGCAAAACAATTTCTGGCCCCAAAGATAATCAATATTACCAAGCAGAGTATTCTTCTTCAGAAGGCTGTTCATCTCTGTTACTTTCAAAACCAGAGAGGACCATTCCATTTTCATCTCATCAGAAGGCTCTGTCTGCATCTTTTACATACAATCTTATTTTTTAATAATTATTTTATTTAACTTTATTATTATCATTATTATTTTCCAGTTTGATCAGAGAGAGACAGAGAGAGAGAGAGGAAGTGAGAAAGCAAGCCACCAGGTCCGAGACTTGAACCGTGGTCGGTCATGTGGGAGTCCAGTGCTTTTAACCCCCATGCCACTTGCCGGCCCCCCTTTACATACGATCTTTAAAAAGACAGTCAACTATATGGCTTTTTCTGGCCGTCTATCTCCATGTCATGTTCCAGGTGCAAGGAGTGTTCGTAGAAAACTCTGCCCACTGGGATGGAGGAAGTTCACATTATTAGGAACATTAGTCACTGCCTCCCCTGGGCCTCCTGACCAGATTAAAATTGCTAGGGCCTGTCGTGAGACTGTAAGACTGTGAGAACCTTTATCTTTTATTATTATTATTTATTTAAAGTTTCCCCCCATGAATGAGAAAGAGAGAGAGGAGAGAGAGAGAGAGACACACCCTGCACTCCCAACAGGGTCCTGAGACGATGATTCACCCCCCACTTCAGCCAGACCCAAATCATGGCATGTGTGTGACTAGCATACTCAGGGAGGTCTCTGGACTTGAACTGGGAACTTTACCATGTGTGAGGCCCTCAATGACAATGCTAGGTTGTATGTCCTGGAAGTACCCCAGAGTTAATGGAGCTGGCATCCTCTAAGGAGCATCCTTGGAGCAGCTGGTGGCATCCTCCCTCCCTCCTGTCACAGAGGCCCATTCCCAAAGCTGGGACTTCTTCTCTTCTTTCTTTCTCCCATTTTCCTGTGTTCACACCATATTCTACTCTTAAACCTGTAGCAATTATGAAAGAGACTCTTGAATAGTGGTAATCAATGGAACAGAAAGATTTTTCATAGGCAACAGGGGTGGCTGATCTCAGACCTCCCTTTATATACAACAGGAGGAATTGATAGGTCAATCAGATTATGGGTAGGGACAATGGAATGTTTTAGAACAAAAGCATCTTTTGCACTGGATTCTTGCATATGAGGATCCATGGGAATCAATATCATTTCTGCATTTCCAGGCTTTGCCATTCACTGGTAGAAACTTTAATGTGTGACTGCCCGGTGCCCTGGGTTCATCATAATGCCAGCCACATAGGCTGTTGTCTGCAAGATGTCACAGGAGCTGAAAGCTGAAGCTGATGGAAAAATTACCACTAAGCACCTCTCCTGAGGGGAGAACCTCCCCACCCCTTCCCTGTCATTTGCATAAGAAGAGGGACACATGTGCCTCAGAGGACAGGTCAACAGTAAGGGGATCTCTATGGGGCCAGCTGAACACGAGGAAGCTGGCAAAACTGGAGGCAGCCTGTGAACTTATCAGAACACTCAAACTTTGGGTTTGTGGCAAGTGAATTCAGGAGAGGGGCCACTATGATGCAGCCAGCACAGAACGTGTTCCATTAGGCTTTCACAACTGAGGTAGCTCTCAATCAGTCTCACTTTGCAGGTGACTGAGAACAAACAAAGCAGAACCCGACAATGTAATATTCAATCTATGAAAGAGAATGCAATTTCAGGAAGCTAATTACAGTCATGTGTCACTTAACGATGGGGATAAATGTATCGTTAGGCAATGTTGTTGTCGTGGGAACATCGTAGAGTACACGAACTTACACAAGCCTACTACACACCTGGGGTCTGTGGTGTAGCCTGTTACACTCTACGGGACCACCATTGTGTATGTGGTCTGTCGGTGACTGGAACATCATTATTGTCATGTGTTGTACTAACATTTCTGGCTCCTCACCTTTTTCCTTCTCATAGTTATCCCTCATCCCATCTTTCTTTTTGTTTTTAAGATTTATTTAATTTTGTCATTATTATTACCTTTTCTTTTGCTACAGGGCACATGCAGTCATCAGACAGGGACAGAGAGAGAAAATGAGAAAGGAAGCCACCAGTTCTGGGACTTGAAACATGGCTGGGCATGTGAGAGTTCAGCGCCTTTAACTACCACGCCACCTGCTGCCCTCCCATCCCATCTTAATTCTCTGCTTTTAGTTTCAAAGAGCCAGGCTCCTCCCCTCCCTGGATTTAACTCTTACAAAAAGAGCACTCCCGGGGAACCAGCAGTTAGCGTAATGGCTATGTCGCTGGACTCCCACATAGTCCACCGTGGTTCGTGTCCCGGACCCGGTGGCTTAAAACTCACGCGTGCCCAAGATCCTGAGAGGAGAATGGAGGAGAAGGGATTGCGGCGTGACCATCCCCCCTGGGGCGGGATTTCTCGCTTTCTGTCTCTATGTCTCTCTCTGTCTGTCTGGTGAGCGCACGAGCCCTACAGTGAAAATCTCTCCAAAAAAAAAAAAAAGAGCACTCCCCAACTCCGCACCACCATGTAATAGCTGGAGAAAGTGAGGGTCAGAGAACTGCCAGGACCACCTTAATGGTGTCTAGTCAGAGAAAGAAGCACTGAGATTTCAACCCATGTATATGTGGGTTAAAATCTGCTAGAGACTTTCAGGAGACTTGGGATGAATCCCAAGTGAGTGTCCTGTAAGAGCTCTGAGCATCGCTAGTCCATTTTCGTATAATGAGCACTTCAGATTCCTTAGGCGGCTGCCCCAGGCAGGGTGGCTCATCTGAGTAGCATGGAGGAGACTACATGCCCAGATTATGTGATTTGTTCTGTTCTCTGAGGTCCCCGCACTAATGTTTCCTGGGCTTCCGTTTTGAGATTTTCTCTTTTGTTTATTAGTAAAGGGAATAAGGAGGTGATGGCTGTGATTACGTGGTTGTGTTTTCAATTAAACATGCTTTCTAATGACTGTGTGTTGACACAGCCAGACACAGTGCTTGTCTCCGTGGGCGGAGAGACAATGCGTGCTGTGCCTCTGAGGAGTTATTACTGTGTTGGCATCACAATGCCAGCCAGAGCTGGATTGAATTGACTGTCTGATGTCCTTCTAGGTTGTGGCATGGTCTCAGTAGCTGGATGGGCAGAAAACTCCATTGGTGGCTTCCCACACCTGGTGGAGGTTCTTTGCAGAGGGAGGGGTTTGGCATAGCCTGATGAGCATCAGTTTCTACTAGATTCTAATCCTTCTTCCTCTTAGGTCCCAATGGGCTTTAGTGGCAACCTGTGCTCTTTGACCAAGTAGAGGCTGTCCATCTGTCCATCCCTCCACTAGCATTCTCTCTTTTCTCCATGCCCTTGGAATAAAGCTCAGAGCTGGCGCATCCATTTAGGTTGACTTTGTTGTAAATAATAGAAAGCTTCTATTCAGACTGGTTTAAGCCATCGCAGAACTCAAAAGTTCAGGGCAGGGTCCACTCTGGACCTGACAAGGCTCTGATTTTACCTTCCTGATGCCATTGGCTCTGCCTAAGCATGCATGCTGGTTGTAGCCTCAGGCTAGAGGTCATCTTCGGCCCCTCTGGATATCACAGACAGGCCAAGTAGGACCCTGTCTGAAGGAAGAAGGGGTGCCCTCTCTTCCTCTGTCTTCTTGGAGATGGTGGGGAAGAGAAGGAGGTGGCCTTCGGTTACGGGTTTAAAACCCAGGAAAAGCCATGAGCTGACCATAAAGAATGAGTTTGAACCCAACTAGCTGTCTCAGTGGGCCCTAAATAAGGCCAAGTTAAGTGGGAAAAGATAAGTAACCACCTTCAACAGGTTCTTGGAAGCCAAGCACCTGGAGGTCAGCTAGGTACAATCATTTCAGTTAGCCTTTGCCCCATAGATGTCCTGAGTCTCTCTTCTCTCTGGAGCTTGGCATCATACAATCATTGAAGGATAAGATCCAAACTGTCTGCTTACCTTGCAGCCCCTTCCATCTGTCCATGCCACTCTGCTGGAGCTACCCTCTCAGGGCTTTCAGTCTTCTTACTTGTTACCTTGGTTTCACTTTTCTTTCTGCTCAGCAAGGAGGACAATCAGTATAATGGCTCCCTTGTGCTCAGTGTGACACCAAGAGTGCTAGCGCTGCCGTAAGCTCCCCTCTCACCCTCACACTCAGTGCACATGACTGGGCAGCCTTGGGTTGTAGCCTAGCAAACCTTCTCTGTACCCTACACCCCTACAGTGCAATGAAGGGTGGGGGTGGGTGGGAGGATCAGGTGGGCTCTGATGGGCTCTGATGCTAGAAGACATGAAAGCCAACTGAAATTCAGCTCTTATCTCATTGAGCAGCGCTAGTAGCCCAATATCTCTGGCCCTCTGTGTCCTCATCTAGGAAGTGGAGATAATCACCCCATATCTCACAATCCAATGCAATAAGACACTTGATACTTGATTTTCAGACAGGAGAGGGCTTTGTAGATTTGTGGGGGAGGCGGGGAAGGTGGTTGGTGGTAAGAGGTTATCTTAGGACTAAGGGGTCAAAGCCTTGAACTCTGAATGCCAAAGTGGGAGCAAGAGATGAGGACTATGCCCATCCCTTCCTTCTTTAAAATAGACAAAAGAAATGATAAAAGTTTCCATCACAAAAGTCTTCTGCAACTGGAGTGGAGGGGACATGTCTGGTGTCCACTGTCCTAGAAGGAGAATGTACGAGAAAGATCTTTCTGGGAATAACTTGTGATTTGGCCCAACACCCAGGAGGCAGCCCTACCTCTACCCCTGAGACTTCATTGAATAAAAGGATGGGCAGAAAGGGGTAACATCATTTAGGAATTCATTTGACAAACTTTGCCAGGTACCTACTATGTTCTAGAACCTGTGTGTACTAAAATGGGAATACTAAAATGGACAGGGAAGGGTTCAGGATGGTGAGGCACTTGTGCTTGTATAGACCTCCTCAGCAGCTAGGTGACTGACTGAACAAGCCACTTAACCTCTCTGAGCTACAGTTTCCCGATTTGCCAAATGGGAACAGTAAATAGTACTCACCTTGGAGGATGATGATCATGATTAGATGGCATGTAGTATGTGTGCAAGCCATTTAGACAGTAGTCAAGAAATGATGGATGTTGAAGAAGAAGATAATGAAATCACAGGATGCTATAGAAGCACAGGCCTGGTTTGTGAGTTTAGTTGGAGGCTTCTAGAAGGGGTGACTCCTGAATGGTGGTTTACCACGTACACTGGTTTGGGTGGAGTGGATCTCTGCTATAGTCACTAATGAGCTTCAGATCTCAGCTATTTGACACACACATTTTATTTCTTGCCCAGACTATATGTTGAGAGACTCTGCATCCAGTTGTCTTCCTTGCAGTGACTCAGTGTTCAAAACTGCAGTGGGGCTCCATCATCTCATCTCCAAGGGGAGGCTGAACGGCACTTGCGGAGCTCTCACATGCTCTTCTGTGCTTCAGCCAGAAATGACTCTTGCCGTCTTACTCCCAGCCCCTTAGCCAAAACATGTCGTAGGACCCACCTCACTGCCGGGGCCTGTGGGATGCAAGTGAGCACATGGACACTCAAGGAGCAATAAATATGTGTCACACAGAGGGTATGAGAGTGAGGAAGGAGGGCCGAATGGTAGCAAGGATGAGATAGTGGGTGGGGCCAGGCTAGAGAGTTCCAGCTGCAATGAAGAGGATGGATTGGATAGGTAAGGCTGTGGCAGGGATCTGGGCAAGAGACTGAGGCTTGAATTGGGGCCATGGCAGTGGGGCAGGACAAGAGATGAGGGGGCAGTTCCTTCAGCTGTCCCCCAGTGGAATCAAGTCAAGAACAATTCCCAGACTCTCACTTGGGTGGCTGTCATTCCCTGAGCTGCGTGCACCTGGGGTGGCTTTCGGAAGGAATTGGATCTGCCCAGCAGGTAGCGGCATGCAGCATCGAAAAGCTAAGGACAGAGACCAGAGCTACAGAGTCATCAATCAGCTAAACCCCAGACCCTCTTGCCCACCTCCCTGGGCACCATGCAGAGCACCTGCCATAGGGCTCAGCCACTCTTCCTCTTTAGACTCCAAATAGGCACTGCTTAGAGAAGACAGGGAAATCAGCCAGTCCCCAAAGAACAAAGAGGAGGCTGACAGATTAAAAAGCCCTGTGTGTTATCCTGACAACTGAAGTTCTAAAGCTAGTGATCAATTCCCAGTCTGAACATACCCAATCCTACGGCAGGTGGGGGTGGGGTGGGATGGGGTACAAACAGCAAGGTGCTAATTATGGCAAGTAGAAGTATGCTTTTATCACCCAGGATGATGGAGGCTCATTGCATAGATATTATGCCTTACAATTGCTCAGGTAATTGAAACATGATTAACCCCCCTGGTCTTTGGTCTTTGGGATTTGAAATCCAATATATTGTAAACTGTTCTGTTCTGAAACTGGCCCTCTGGCCCCTCCTCCGCATTCAAGAGCTATTCTCATAAGCATCATAAAAAGCCTCCTGCATTATTGAAGAGTAGAGGTAGTTTTGTGTGCCCTAAAGTCCTTTCTGTCTGTTCTGTCTGTTGCACTCTGGCATTTCAAAGACTCCTTTCAAGTCCACACAGACCCAGTTGTTCGGCTCCAGGAAGGAGCCCCCCAGCCCTGAACATGATTCCTCGTCTCTTCCTTCCCAGAAGAATCAGGCTGTTTGGACCTGTAGATTCTTTACAAACCAAACTCTGCATTATATTCCAGCCATTTTGCAGATTGTTAAGTGGAGGTGCAGAGGAGTTAGTCATTAGTCTGGTTCACTGAGCAAAACCACGTTGGGGTGAAAATAGAAACCAGAGAGCTGGAAGTGCTGTTCTGGCCTTCGTAAATCATGGCTGCACCTTGTCTCTGAAGAGGGAAAACACAAGCCCTGCTAGACAACACCTGGGGAACCCTATGGGGAAGCACTTGCATGCCTCTCTGCCCAGCGAAGGGCCCAAGTCCCTTTTATTAAACAGGGGACTATTCAACAATAAATATTTCTCACCAAGACCAGAGAAGTTACAATTGGCTCTTTCCCAGTCTGGCTGAGTCAGCAGGAAATTAGCCAAGGTGCAGGGAATCTTGTGTTCTGTGGTTTTGGTGTGTTGATATTTTTTAGATTCTGAGCTGGAAAGCTAAACCCTGAAAACCACACGTGAATACACCACCTTAGTAGGTCTGCAATCCTAGGGTGTTGGGAACCTATGACAGTGAAAGGATGTCATGTGGGATGCCAGGTGTCAAAGGCAAAGCTTTCTCAGTTACAGTCTCCTTATCTGTGAAATGGGTTGAAAATGTGCACCCCCGGGGCTGCTGTGAGACAGCTCTTCTAAGTACAGAGGGGCTGGCAGGAAGAGAACAAGACATGAGTTTGAGTGTTCCCTGCTAAAATGATCACTCACTAGCTGTGTGTCTCTGAAAAGAGGCTTCCCCTTTCTGAGTCTACTGCTCATTTATACAATGGGGTGTTACTATGTCCTATGTAGATCTTTGAGAGAGAAGTTTTCAGGCCTCAAAGGACTGGACAAATATGAAAGTGACTGTAAATTGGAAAGCCCTAGAGATACTTGGGTATTACTGTGTTTGGTGCTGTGGTGACTGGGCGCTTTGATGGGGGCAGGTTTTGTCCAGCTGCAAGACTCTGCTTACTTATGTTAGGCTTTTAGGCGAGTCAGGAGAGTGCCTTCGTTGGGGTTTAATAGAAGAAGACTTGTTCTGTCAGTCCTTCAGATAATGAAAATTCCCAATAAGAGTTATACAGCTGTTTCTATGAATATTTGATTCCTCAGCTCTTCAACTAGCTGATCATTCTCTGGCTAAATTGAAAGAATAATCGTTTTCATAGCTACCCTCACCGGGGAGTCCCCGTAGCCCCTAATTACAGCCTGGGAAGTAAGGACTTAGTTTTTGGTTGGTGTGAGGACAAGATGCTAACTGTTGGAACTGGTGGCTCCTGAAGGAAGAGAGAAGCCCCACTCGGGGCTTGACATACTGACTCTGAGCTACAAGCTCCTATAGGGAAGATGGGAAGCCCTGCTTAAAGGCCCATCTCAGATCTCCTCAAAGGCAAGGCACTGGTGCTTGGCACCTGGGACTCACAGAGGCCAACCATGTGAGGGCTGCTCTCAGTGTCAGCTCCAATACACCCCCAGTGGGCACCTGTGGGAGGCAGACAGAGACCCTGACTCAGAGGGTGACAAGGCCCCACCCTCCCATCTTGGTGCAAAGAAAATGCATCCTCCTGACTCTGCAAAGAAAGGAACCAGCCTTGTCTGTGCTGCAGAATGTGAAGGCCTCTGTAAGCCAGGACACCTTCCTCTGGAATTCTCCCTCCTCTGGGGCCAACCAGAGGCTAGATACATGCTGAAGAGAGAAGAGTGAGTGAGTGTGTTGTCCTCGCCAGGGTCTCCAACCGCAGTGAATTCCTATCATGTTATGTCCCCTCAGCAACTGTTCTAATCTAAGTTGGGCTTTCTTATAGCAGAAGTAGGTCTCTGTCACCTTGGCAGTTTCCAGGTCTCTGCCTCCTCCCAGTTCTTTAGTATGGTTGATCCAGATACCTGCCTGACACCACTGCCTCCTGGTGACCCCTCCCTACAGATGGCTAAATGCTACCTCTTGGACTCACCTGCTGACTCCTACACCCTCATGGGCTGTGCCAATATGTCACCATGACCCCCCCCCACCCCAAGTCACAGTGTGACTCCATGGAACTTGTGCCTACTTGTTCCAAACCCACTGATTAGAACTCCCCATCGGACACCTGCTTGGGTAACACCTTGGACCCCGATGAAGGCTTTGACCCTCAGGTCTGTTGCTTGCTTTCTCCTGCTCCAACCCCATTGGTTGAGCGTCCGTGTCCTGGATGTCCCCCTGCCCGAGGCCCTATCAGCTTGCCACACTCTTCTCTCTGGATCTGTGTAATAAAAGCTACTTCCATTGTTTCCTGTGTTCTGTTGTACCTGCCTCTTCTGTGCCTCACCTGGCTGACACACCCACACCTCCTAGAGAGTGACTATCTTGGTAGGAATAAAGACATAGGTCAGATAAGAGCCAGAGGGGCATCTGTCAGCATGAAGTTCCCTGTGACAGGGTTGCCTGGTCACAGGTCAGACGCTTAGACAGTGGGCTGTCTGCCAGCACAGAGAAGTGCCTCATGAAAGCCACCATGTAACATCATGACCACTGCCCAGGAACTCCATCATCAGGGCTGGGTTATAGTCCCTCTCCCAGGAGAGACCTCAAGACTAAATCAGAGGAAAACACAACACGGACTCTGGAGTCTTTTCAAGTATTATTATTGGGTGGTCGGAAAAGTCATGACACATTTTTATGTGTCATGACTTTTCCGCCCACCCAATATAACGTGAGAAGTTACCATGTTGACAGGATGGTTTGAGGAAACAACCAGAAGATGTTGGTGGCCCCAAGGCTGTAAGGGTGGCATCCACTGTAAGCCTTACCTTACCCTTAGGCCCGCGTCTGCTCTGTTAGGTCCCAGTCACTCCTCCACCTTCTACCATGATTGAGCCTGACCAAGAAAGAAAGGAGAAAACAAGAAGAAACAAATTTCCTTGGGGATTACAATCATAGTATTATGATCTGAAAATATTCATAATCCTCATTGCTACTGGAGTGGAAGTATGCAAATCTGATGTGAGATGACTGTTGGTTCCACAGGGTTCTGGAGGAGACCCTGGAAACTCTGAGACTCTGAGAAGGGGCAAGGGGCCAGGAGACCTAACCTCACTATTAACCAAAAGAGCTCACAGTCCAGTTCTGGATCAATAGACCAGTCATGGGCCTCCTCCTGGGTTCCACGGATCTGGCCCTGAGAAGTGTCTTGCTGAATACATCTCACCTCAACCTACACAAATGCTCAGGATACTTGAGACTTGGCAATCCCCTGTGGTCCCCTCAGACTTGAGAAAGGCAGGAAAGGGGGAAACAGAAAGAGAAAGAAAGGCTTTCATTAAACATTCAGACCAGCTTGTGGAGGGCCCATCATGCTCTCTCCTAGGACAACCTGGGGCAGAGGTGGGGCGTATGAACAGTGGTTTGAAAGTCTTGAGTCTTTTCTTTTCTTTTTCTTTTTTAGTCATAAAACACATATGTTTGCTGGAGAGAGACTGAGAAACGAAAAATGAGAAATCACCACTCCCCACCCCGCCCCTGGGGAGGTTATCTATGCCGCAATTCCTTCTTCTCTTGGGATTTTGGACACACATGCACATGTGCCTGGTATGATTTTCAGGTTGACAGGTCCAGGGCTCTAACTGCAGTCAACCTGTGGGAGTCTAGCACCTTAGCCACTATGCACCACCTGTTGACCCTGGATCTTGAATATTAAAGAGGAGGTTGAAAGTGTGACTCAGAGGAGAAAATCAAGTACCATGGCGGGAGGAGGGGCCTCAAAGGCTTAACTTTGAGCCCAACATTTTTGCCTAAGCAGAGCTTCCCTGGCTCTGTAGGCTGCTTCTTTCCATCTCTGGCCCCTCTCCTGTCTGCACCCCCTCTGCCCCATGCACACATACGGTGTGCCCACACCCACAGACTGAAACACCCCACAGGTGGAAGGGGCCCCAGAGCTCAGGGCTCATCCAGAACACAGAGAGTTTTAGGCAATGTGTGGACCGGGCATTGAAGACAATGGAGACAGATATTGAGAAAGTTATTCAGAGGATTTTAAGAAAACTGGTAACCCCCCCCCACCACCACCACCTATTTATTTTTTTTTTCTTTTTGCGCTACAGGGCATGAGAGAGAGGAGAAGAACCCCTCTCCCCCCAAGGAACCTAATCACATCACAATTCTCTTTCCTCTGTTTCTCCATCCCATCAGGATCATGGGCACATGCACTTGACAAGGTTTTCAAGTTGTCGAGATCAAGACTTGAACCCTGGTTGGCCATGTGGGATCCGGTTTCCCCTGCCCAGTGCTTCATTACTGCACTATAAAAGTAGCCCTGTTAAATTTCCTTAAAAATTTAGCCCCGTCAGAAAACTGGCTCAGTCCCAGTCTTTTCACTCTGACACTCACTCATCTCCCCAGTGAGTAAGTATTCATCAGTATGTAACTGAAAATTAGTAACTTCTTTTCTTTTACTTTTGCTTACTTGGTGATCATGTTGTATAATAATGACAGAAATTTTCCATTTGTGATGAAAACAAAAATTGTCCCTTTAAAATACATTTTTAAAACCCTTTTGATTACGAATATTTCCATACACAGGTGAAAAACAAAGATGGGTGTGTGACATCCACTTTTCAGCTTCAACCACCATCAGCCTGCAGTCAGCCTTGCTTTTCTGCATCCTAACTCTTCCCACACCCTGTTATTGAAGTAACCCCCAGCTATTATGCACCTCAATCCGTCTCTATCTCAGGGTGTAGATGACTTCAATGTGAGTGTATTGAAAGAACATGGGAAGTAACTCCCTGTGCAGGGATAAAGCCAACTTCTGAAGTGGCCGCAAGTGATCGGATTGAACGCTCATAGGTAGACACTCTGAGCCTTATCCAAGGCAGCTCCTTATTGAGTATAGGACAGAGAGGAGGTGACCACTTGCTCTGATCAGGGTTCCAGCTGCAGCCCTGGCACTGGCAGGCCACCTGTCTCTGTCCCATTTAAGCCTCTTTAAACTGTGGGCCTCCCAAGGATTTGGCATGCTGTCCCTGAAGCCTACCCAGGAAATATTTGCTGAACAAGTGGGATGAGCTAGCTGATTGGCTTCCGTAATGCCCATGGCAAGGTAGATTGAATTTTTTTTTTTTTTTGTAGAGGTCTTTGCTATAGGGCGTGTGTGCTCACCAGAAAGACAGAGAGAGACAGAGAGACAGAAAGCGAGAAATCACCCCCCAGAGGGGAGGGCCATGCCACAATCCCTTCTCCTCCATTCTCCTCTCGGGATTCTGGGCACACATGCACACGCACCCAGCATGAATGTAAGCCACCGGGTCCGGAGCTCAAACCGTGGTCGACTACATGGGAGTTCAGTGACATAGCCATTACACTAACTGCTGGTCCCAAGGTAGGTTGAATTTTAAATGAGCCCTGTGATGGTTAATTTTGTGTGTTAACTTGGCAGGGCTATAAGATGTCTAGATACTTGGTCAAACATTACTTGGGGTATGTCTGTGAGGGTGTTCCTAGATGGGATTAACATTGACTCGGTGGACTGACTAGAGCAATTGCTCTTCCCAAAGTGAAGGGTGTCATCCAATCCATTGGGGGCCTGAATATAGAAATAACCACTTAGTGAATGTCAAGAATGAGAGCCAGGGAGAGTAGAAGAGCCAAGTGGTTACTGCAACAGCCCCAAGGGAGACGTGATGCGAGTCCAAACTAGCAGTTCTCGAACTTCACCAAGCACCCAGAGAGCTTGTTAAATACAGAATGTTTGTATCACCCCAAACATTCTGACTGAAATGACTGGCTCCAACCCAGGCCTACTGAAATGGATTCTCTAGTTTGGGGACACAGGAATCTGCATTTTTATTTTATTATTTATTTATTTATTTATTTATTTATATTTTAGTTTGCTATGGGATGCATATGTTCTCCAGAGGGTGGGAGGGAATGAGAAATCACCCATCAGAGAGGATGGCCACACTGCAATCCCTTCCCCTTCATTTTCCTCTTGGGATTTTGGACAAACATGCACACGTGCCTCACATGTTTTTTTAAGCCGTGGGATCCAGGACTTGAACCCCATAGTTGGTCACATGGAATTCAGTCACCTTAACATCTACATCACCTGCAGGAATCTGCATTTTTAAACTTCCCAAGTGGTTCCAAGGTGATCTGGTTTGGGAAAAGAAATGGTAGCTGACCAGGGCTGGGGTAAAGGAGTGCCTGGTGGGGACACTCACAGAACAGAGGTGCTGGGGTGAAGCAGGTCTGGGTTGGAACTGACAGAAAGCTGAGGAAGGGTGGAGTGTAAATCACAATGAGCTGCTCAGAGTGTCTACCTGTGGGCGTTCATTCCTATTATCCTCCTAAGCACCACTTTGTAACATTTCACTGCATTAAACGCTCAACCAGGAAAATGAAATTTATTTAGAAGGCTCAGGTCTTTCACATCTAGGGCAGGCGATACTGCTCTAAATTTACCAAGTCAACAGCTCATTTTTGCTTTTGGGTGGGTTGTAGATCTTATGACAGAATCAAGTAAGTGAAAACGCTACCAGCTATAAACTTTATCTTATTGATGAAATGTCTATTATGCAGCTAAAAACATCTAGTTAATAGGCACTGCCCTTCAACAACTGGTAGCAACAAAGTATTAGGTGGTGATAACAATGGCATTACGTCTTTTTTATGACCTGTAGGTTCTCTGTAACACCAATTACTGGCCATATGTTCACTCCTGGCCTCAGAGCTCTAGGCTAAACAGATGATCATTCTAATGATGTCATCACTACAATCAGCAGAGGTCCTCACCTGATTTTCCTCCAGAGGCTCTGTCTGGCTTTTAGGATCCCCAATCTTCATATGTGGGAAGGACATTTGATTTTAGGATATTGCAAAAACCATATGAAGCTAAGTAGACTAGTTGCCAATCAAGCCAGGTGATTTCTACTGAGTTATTTGCCAAACATTTATGCAGGCATGTCCACTGGGCCAGGTGGGCTCTAAGCGAGGGTTTGAGAATGCTGGGACTTATGCGACACCATTTCTCTGAAATAGAATTCTGGAGCTTTATAGCCACGGCAGCATTTGTGGGACAGCTGAACTGCCCCTCAGGGGAGCCCTGTTAGAGTAGAAGACTCTCACATGAACACACAAGGGTGTTTGTTTAACACTAGCCCCGTTACTTTCTTCACTGTTCAGCGCAGAGGCCAGGGCTGCAGCTTTAAGGAACCGCTAGTTGTTATCCTAAATACAGTAGAGGTTTTGGATTGGGTGTAGGAAATTTTTACAAGAACCCAAATTTCATGTCGATTTGTGATGGATTAGCATACCAAAATTGGCTTAAAGTGCACTTAATGGATGCATTACAGCAGAAGGGAGCCGCCTAACCCAGAGTATTTCTAAATTTATGAAATTGAAATGCACTTCAGGTTACTGAGCAGTCTAAATTTGTCAAAGTCACAGGGTGGGAAGCAGGTCGTTATTGGTGGCAGAGGTGGCAGAAAACTGAAGCAAGGGGTGCCAAGACGAAATTGAGAGCCTACGCAATGATCTCAAGGGTCCCAGCACTCAGATGCAGCCCTTTCCAGTGGCAGAAACAGACTCTGGGTCTTCTGATCTTGATGTTTACTGAGCTCCTAGCACAGATGAGGCATGGGAGTGCCATTGCTTGGGTCAGTCACCTCCTCTCCCCTGCTACACTTTCTTCATAGGTTTGTTCATAACCTGCAGCCATTGGCACTAGTGCACACTAATGGTACAGAAATGGCTTTTGGTCTTTTCCTGTGTTTGGTTTCTTTCTTTCTTTTTTTTTTGGAGAAGTTTTTGCTATAGGGCGTATGTGCTCACCAGAAACACAGAGAGAGACAGAAAGCGAGAAATCACCCCCTAGGTGGGATGGCCACACCATAATCTCTTCTCTTCTATTCTCTTCTTGGGATCTTGGGCACGCATGCACACACATCAGACGTGAGTTTAAGTCATAGGGTCTGGGACTCAAACCGGGGTCGACTATTTGTGAGTCCAGCGACATAGCTATTACGCTAACTGCTGGTCCCCTGTGTTTGGTTTCTGAGCCTCAGTCTCCTCACCTGAGAAACGGATAAATAATATTAGCTATACAAGTCTGTTGTAAGACCCCTACGATGTAGCATGAGAAAGTGGTCAGCAGAGTGCTGGTCACAGGCGAGACTTTGTGTAGGTCCCCCTCCTAAGAAGTCGAAATCTTCTTCACCTCAGAAGGTCCACAATTCAGACCAGTGTATGGCACACAGCAAGTGTTCAAAGAATGTCCACCCAGTGAAAGAATGAGGAGTAAACATATATTTTTTTTTTGAAGAAGTTTTTTGCTATAGGGCGTGTGCACTCGCCAGACAGAGAGAGACACAGAGACAGAAAGCGAGAAATCACACCCGAGGGGGGATGGCCGCACCACAATCCCTTCTCCTTCATTCTCCTCTCCGGATCTTGGGCACATGCACACACGCACCCGGCGTGAGTGTTAAGACACCGGGTCCAGGACGCGAACCGCGGTCCACTACATGGGAGTCCAGCGACATAGCCATTACGCTAACTGCTGGTCCCGGAGTAAACATATTTTTAAGCATTGTGGGGGTCCCTGGACTTCTAATGCCCTTGTGTGCTCTCTCTCTCTTTATGATAGTGCAGGAATGACAGAGTGAGCTAGAGCGAGAAAGAGCGTTCTCTTGAAGAGTTTCATTACGCTATGATCGCCTCTCTCTAGCCCTCTAGTTCTGCAGGATCCTGGTCACACATGGTACCCTGTGTGTGTGTTTTAGCTGACCTGAGCATCTGAACCCAAAGTCGGCCTATGGCTTCCGGCATTGCAGGGTGCTTCTGCTCTTACTGCACCACAGCAGCCGGGCTCTTATATCGTCTCATATACACGCTTTAATTAGGATTCTTTAAAAAGCCCATTATTTCTTCCGAGAGAGAGAAAAAAAGAGAGAGAGAGAGAGAGAGAGCGCGCGCAATATAGCACTTCTAACAGGGTCTTGACACAGGGATCCACCCTCAGCCTCAGCAGGCCCCAGACCATGAGCATGCACATGCCTGGAGTACTCAGGGAGGTCTCCAGATGTGAATTGAGGACATTTCCATGGGGGTCAGCCTCGCAGAGCACTGAGTTTTACTGTTGCACCACTGTCTGGCTCCCTTCCATAGAATTTTATTCAAGTTATACTCACTGATTCAGTTAATCAGTTAACAAATATTTATCAAATACAACACTGCTTTTAATAGTGACGAGTACTAATATCAACTATTATTTCTGAGCTCTTACTATGTCCCAAGAATTGTGCTTAGTATTTTCCAAAGGTTTTGTCATTAATCTTCACAGCAGCTCATGGAGGTAGGATATTAATCAGCTATGCCACCATAATGCCACTGGGTCCAGCTGTGGTGGCAGGCACTGCTAAGATGCTATACTCCACAGGATCGGATCCCGTGGGAGGCCCAGTTTTGATTCTCTGTCCGATCTGAAGGTTGGGCATGGTGGCGTGCACCTGTAAGCCCAGTTACCCAGAAGGCTGAAGCAGGAGAATCTCAAGCTTGAGGCTGCTCTGGGCAACATAGTGAGACCCTGTGTGAAAAAGCCAGGTGCCGTTTCATGCCTGTAGTCCTGGCTGAAAGGCTAAGGCAGGAGGATCCAGTCACAGTGTAACTAAACTCCGACATTCAGCAGCTTACATAAACAAGCCCTTGGTCACCCTTGTGTGTGTGCCTGACCCAGCTGTAGTTGGGGTAACTTACATCTAGGCTGCTCTGCTCCAGGTGTGGTCATTCTGGGACCTTGCTGGAAGAGGCAGCCTCTAATTGAGACAGTTCTTCCATAGTGGATCACCGGGACAAAAGAAAGCAAACCCAGTCCTGTAAGCATGCTTCAGGCTTGTTATGTTCTTAAGCAAGTCCAAAGTCAAGGAATGGGGAAATGCAATCCACACACTCTGAGACTGTGACCAGGGTATAGATGTATAATATTCCACCATGAAACAATGAATTGCTGAGACACTACTCCAGTCCGCCACTACTAGGTACTGTCGTAAGCCTCACACTGAGGTACAGAAAGAAGTGGCTTGCCCAAGGCCACTCAGCTCATCAGTGGCAGAAGTAGCATTTGAACCCAGACAATCTAGTTCCACAATAATGGAAGCCTAAGAGTACATTCTATGCAGGGAGAGAGGGGATATTTCTTTTTGTAAATTATCTGCAATTTTGTTTTTGCTGTTCATGAGTTGTCAATGGCCTGTCGGCCCCAGCCTCTCTCTTACACATCATCTCTTCATCCAACCAACACACACCCCTGCATTTAGCTGTCCCCTCCATTTTTCAGGCTCAAATGGAATTCTTGGGTAATTTTTAAAAATTAATGTTAAGAGGGACCAGCAGTTAGCGTAATGGCTATGTCGCTGGACTCCCATGTAGTCGACTGCGGTTCGAGTCCCGGACCCGGTGGCTTAAACTCAAGCCGGGCGCGTGTGTGTGTGTGTGTGTGTGTGCCCAAAATCCCGAGGGGAGAGTAGAGGAGAAGGAATTGTACATTCTATGCAGGGAGAGAGGGGATATTTCTTTTTGTAAATTATCTGCAATTTTGTTTTTGCTGTTCATGAGTTGTCAATGGCCTGTCGGCCCCAGCCTCTCTCTTACACATCATCTCTTCATCCAACCAACACACACCCCTGCATTTAGCTGTCCCCTCCATTTTTCAGGCTCAAATGGAATTCTTGGGTAATTTTTAAAAATTAATGTTAAGAGGGACCAGCAGTTAGCGTAATGGCTATGTCGCTGGACTCCCATGTAGTCGACTGCGGTTCGAGTCCCGGACCCGGTGGCTTAAACTCAAGCCGAGCGCGTGTGTGTGTGTGTGTGTGTGCCCAAAATCCCGAGAGGAGAATGGAGGAGAAGGAATTGCAGCGTGAGCACACCCCCGGGGGGTGATTTCTCGCTTTCTGTCTCTCTGTCTCTCTCTGTCTGGCGAACGCATGCGCCCTATAGTGAAAACCTCTCCAAAAAAAAAAAAAATTAATGTTAAGAGGAAAAAATAAATCACCCTCCAGCTAACCTCAGGCACGTGTGTAAACACCTTAGAAAGTCCCCTGTGAAATTCGTATCAAAGCAGCACCGTGATTTTACCTGAAAACAATTTGCTCCACGTCAACTGTGATTTCTGACACCCGAATTTGAAAGTGATCTGGGTGGGCCCAGCTCCATCTCCATAACCGAGTCATGTGTTTATGTGGAGGGAGGAGAGGAAAGCCGGCAGTATGTGTGGCCGTGGAATAATGTTCCACACACCCTTACAGGAGGGATTTCCTCCTCGGTGTTTCCATAGAACCTTCCCTGTGTTTGTTTAAACCCGCTGCACACTCTGGTCTGACAGCTGCCTGGCCCAGGGCCTTCCTTGCAGACGCATGTACAACCGCCCCTCTTTAACAGCAACCTGCACTGTGTCCCTCGATGCAATTACTCGAATATATAAACCTCACTGAAAGGCAGGCTTTTCTTGGGAGCTAATAAATAAGCCCCAAAGCCACAACGTGTGTAAGACCTTGAAAAATGGCATCATCATCTATTGGGAATTGTGAACCCTGCAAAAAGCAGCTCATTGTATTTTCAGAAAAAGGTTTTTGTTAAAAAAAAAAAAGAACAAAAATCACCAAGTGGAGTTTATATGGAAAAAAACCCATCTAGTTGGAGATACTATGGCTGGTCTCTTTGCTGCATTAATCCTTCTTCGCAGATTTTATGTAAGAGGCATTATTTGCAGGAAAACAAGACAGGGTTTTAAAGCACTCCCTCTCATCCCAGTTTTCCTTCTGCAGTTATAATCCTCTGCTTGTGACCTCTGCATTAGTTGCCATGGATGCTGGGCAGAAGTTTATGACCTCAGGAGGGGTTGTGACTTCTGGGGGCAGAGATGAAACCTTAAGCAAAAGAGACAAGGGTGAAGAGACCCTGCTAGGAGTCACTCTTCACTCTGCACATTAGAAGGCACTTTCAGCTCCACTTCTGGTTTCTTTGAGGAAGAGGGTGTTGGACTCTGGCCATGGCAAAAAAAGACTGGTGGATTATTTTCTGTACCCTGGACCTCCAGTCCCTGAGAGGCTTGGCTTGGTGCTCCAAGCATCTTCTTGAGTGAGTCTTCAGAATTCCAAGTGTCTTTAACTTGGCACCCTCAGTCCAGAGTCAGGGGAGTCGGCCACTGGTGCCACTTCCTTGCCCTCCGGCTGGGCTGCCCAGGTGTTCCTCTGAGCAGCTGCCTCTGGGCCATTGCGGCAGGCGGTGGCGCTTGGAGTCCGGTCGAACCTTACCTCCTCAGAGAAGCAAAGCAAACATGCAGGGCTGCGGAGCCAGGCCATCCTTCCCGGGATACAAAAAAATGTAACAGCGCCGAACCCACCCGCGCTGTGGCCTTGAATATCAATGTATGGGCCGACTCCAGACCGCCAAGTTCCTTAAAAATGTCTCCGACAGAGTGTCTCGGCCAGACTTTAGGAGTTCAGGTTTGCTGTTTATTTGGAATCACCGCATCACACAAACCGTGTTTACTTGGAAGGGGAGGGGGCTGGGACCAAACCCACCGCTCGGAGCACACGCCTTGATCTCACATTCCAGACTTGAGCTGATGTGTGTCAGCGCGACATGGGCGGGGGAGGGTTCTCTTTGGATGTTTCCTTCGCCATCTGCACGTCACTCCCAAACTTTTCCTCCCTGCTCTCGGGGAGTCAGGTTGACGCGCGCCCTGGATGCAGGGCTTCAGACACCGGGCTGGCCGCGATCCCGCCGAGCCTTGCAGAGGCTCCCCGTCTGGACTCGGGCTTCTCAGGTACTAGTTGGGTGCCAGGCGCTGGGGTGGACGGCGGCGGCGGCGGCCCAGGCAGACAATGAACTTGCGAGCGCGCCCAGCGGAGGCAGGTTTGGGCCCCGCGCCCTCCGCCCGGCCTTCCCGAGGCTTCTACAACCCCCAGCGGGGGGCGTCCCCTCGGGGTTGGTTCTGGTCGCACTCCCGGCGCCCTGCGCGCCTGGGGGCCCTGCGGGAAGGTCTGCGCGGCGGCGGCGCGGGGTTTTGAACGCCCCTTCCTAGCCTGAGAGAACGCAGCCGCAGCTCGGGGACCGGGGACCGGGCGGTGGCATGGTGGCGCTGTGCACAGCCGGAGGCCGGCGGGGGGCGCACGCCGCGAGGCACTCACCAGCCCGCTGTCCGGCAGAACGGCCCCAGGAGTTGGAATCTGAGCTCCTGTGCACCACTCCGCTCTGGGAGCTGCAGGAGGAAGACGGACGGACAGATGGACTAAGGCTTTCACCGTGCGAGCGCACGCGGGGTGGTGGTAGGGGACGGGAAATCCCCCTAGCCGCGCGCTCCGCCCCCACCGCGCACTTCGGGGAAGTTTCCAGGCGCCGCCCGGGGCAGGTAAGTGGGCGTCCACACTCTTTTCCCGGGTTCCGGACCCCAGCGGCTGCTGGAACCCCGGCTCTATCCCTCTGGGCTGGGAGGCGGAGGGTCTCTGGTGCCAACGCCGGTGGGACCGGGTTTCCGGAGGGCACGGATCGCAGGGGGCGGACCTGTGAGGAGACCCGGGTGCGGCTGAGCCCGGAGAAGCTTGAACTTTTGCCCCGCGTCCCCTCCTCCTTCCTCCCTGCCTCCGCCAAGGCAGGTCTGAGCTGCGCGGTGGGGCGGCGGCGGGGAGCTGGTGCTGCCAGGCGGCGAAGCTATGCGGAGCCGGGTGGCAGCGGCCTTGGCGCGGGGACGATGCTGGCGATCGTGATGAAGTGCGAGTCTGTTTGGTCGCGTGTGCGGGTGGAGAGGACGTGGTGGCTCTGTGTGTCTGTGGCAGCTCATGGCGCAATTGTCCCCTGCGCGGTGGGGCGGCGGCGGGGAGCTGGTGCTGCCAGGCGGCGAAGCTATGCGGAGCCGGGTGGCAGCGGCCTTGGCGCGGGGACGATGCTGGCGATCGTGATGAAGTGCGAGTCTGTTTGGTCGCGTGTGCGGGTGGAGAGGACGTGGTGGCTCTGTGTGTCTGTGGCAGCTCATGGCGCAATTGTCCCCTGTGGATATCCCTTTGATCGCAGGATAGAGGCGCCCGGGCGAAGGGAATCTC